GGATAGTTGCAAACCGTCCACGGTAGTTTGGGCACCGTCCATGATAATTGTGCTAACTGATCCACATAGTTTGTAACCGTCCAATAGTACCGTCCACCGGATAGTTTCTGACATCCACAGATAGTGGACCTAATGCGATACTTGACATCAGTAGGCAACCGATCCAGGATAGTTGTAACCGTCCGATCGGATAGTTTGAACCACCACGGAATAGTTTGTAACCATCCACGGATAGTTTTGCAACCGTCTCAGTGTTTGAACTCAAGTATTGCAACCGTCCACGGATAGTTGTAACCGTCCATGGATAGTTTGACAACTCCGATTGTCTGAACGTTCAACGTATAGTCATGGACAACCGTTCACCGTCCGATAGTTTGCAACCGTCCACGAATAGTTTGTAACCGTCCACGGATAGTTGTACCGTCAGATTCACATCCACGATAGTTGGTCAACCGTCCACATACCGTGTTGTGAACCGTTCACGAGATAGATTGGTAATCTCACGGAATAGTTTGTAACGACGTCCACGGATAGTGTGTAACCGTCCACGATAGTTCTGGCAACCAGTCCACGGATAGTTGTAACCGTCCACGTGATAGTTTGTAACCGTCCACGGATAGTGGTAACGTCCAGGATAGTTTGAACGTCCACGGATAGTTGCAACCGTCACGATGGTAGTTGGCTAACTCCGTCCACGTGATGAGTTGGTAACACGTCGCACGGATAGTTTGACGTTAGGATAGTTGAGTACGTCCAGGAATAGTTTGTAACAGTCCGATGTGAACGTCACGGTATTTATCCAGACTGACGTCCACGAGATAGTTGGTCAACGTTCCACGGAATTTTAACGTCCTGGTATTGAACCGTCCACGCGATGTAACGTCTCAAGGATAGTGTTGCAATCCGTCCACTGGAATAGTTTGTAACCGTCCACGATAGTTGGCTTAACTGTCCACAGGATTAGTTGGTAAACCGTCCAGGAAGTTCTGACATCACCGATATGGTCAACCGTCCACGGAGTGGCAACCGTCCACTTGGTAACCGTCACGGATAGTTTGTAATCACGGAATTGGCACCGTCCACGGATATAGTTGGTCAACCGTCCAGGGAATTAAGTTCTTGAACAATGCCACGGATAGTTGGCTTCACGATGTTTTACCGTCCATGGTTGCACTAGCATATTGGCAACATCATAGCTTGAACCCGCCACTGATAGTTGTACTGGATTTATGTATCGTCCACGCATAGTTTGTACACCATATATGGCGCACAGATTAGTTTAAAAGCACGTAGTTCCCAAGCGATAGTTGGTAAAAACCCACGAATTTCATAACCGATCCATGGAAATTTGTAACCGTCCACCGGATATTTGGTAACGCCCCACGGGCATAGTTTTGCAACCGTCCACGGATATTGGCAACCGTCCACGATAGTTTGGGTAACCGTCCACGGATAGTTGGTAACTGTCCACGGATAGTTGGCAACTCGTCCACAGATATTCTGAACCAGTCCACGGATAGTTGGAACCGTCACGGCATAGTTGTAACGTCGCACGGATAGTTGTAAACCGTCCCAGGATAGTTCGTGAAACCATCCACGGATAGTCTGGTAACCGTCCACGATTTTGTTGGCAAACTCGTCCACGGATAGTTCTGAAAGCAATCCACGGATAGTTGGAAACGCGTCCACGGGTAGTTTGAATCCGTTCCACGGATAGTTGCTAACCGTCCACGATTAGTGGTACGTCTACCGATATGCACCGTCCATGATGTTGTACCTCCGGTTTTTGGTAACCGTCCACGGATAGTTTTCAACCGCCACTATGGCACCGATAGATATGGTAACCGTCCACGGAGTTCTGAACTCAGTGTGGTAACTGACGGTTTCGTTCCACAAGTGCACGTCACCGGTTGTTGGCACTCCCGTATTTGCCCACATGATAGTTTGGTAACCGTCCACTAGATAGTTGTAACCGTCCCGGATAGTGTAAACCTGTGTCCACGATAGTTCTGAACCATCCACGGATAGTTGCCAACTACCCGTGGACGGTTGCCAACTATCCGGGATGGTTCAGAAAATATCCCCTGGACGGTTACCAACTATCCGTGGACGGTTTACCAACTATCCAGTAGGACGGTTTACAAACTACATGGACGGTTGGCAAACTAATCCTTGGACGGTTAACCAACTTCCCGTGGACGGTTGGCCAACTATCTGGACGGTTTGAAAACTATCCGTGGACGGTTTACAAACTAAGTCCATGACGGTTCCAACTATCCGTGGACGTTACCAAAACTAATCAAGTGGACGGTTTGCAACTACCCGTGACGGTTGCCAACTATCCCGTGGATTCTTCAGAAACTATCCGTGGAAACGGTGCCAACTACTGTGGACCGGTTGCCAACCTATCCGTGGAATGGTTTCAAGAACTTCCCTGGACCGGTTACCAACTATCCGTGGACGGTTTTACAAACTATGAGTGGGATCGGTTGCAAACTGATCGCGTGGACGGTTTTGCCAACTATCTGTGGACGGTTGCAAAACTATCCGTGGACGGGTTACAAACATCCATGGACGGTTACCAACTATCCGTGGCGGTTGTCCAATATCCGTGGACCGGTTGCCAAACTATCCGTGATGGTTACCAACTATTCCGTGGACGGTTACAAACTATCCGTGAAGGTTACCAACTATCCGTGGGACAGTTGCAAACTATCCTGTGGATGGTTACAAACCTATGCGGGACGGTTACAAAACTATCAGGTGACGTTTTGCAAAACTACCCATGGACGGTTGCCACTATCCGTGGATTGTCAGAACTATCCTGGACGGTTTACCAATATCCGTGGACGGTTACACATCCATGGAAGGTTACCAACTATCTGGGACGGTTGCCAACTACCCGTGACGGTTGCCAACTATCGTGATGGTTCAGAACTATCCCTTGGACGGTTACCAACTATCCGTGGACAGGTTTACCAACTATCCGTGGACGGTACAAACTATCAGTGGACGGTGCAAACTAATCCTGGACGGTTACCAACTACCCGTGGACGGTTGACAACCTATCTGTGGACGGTTTTGAAAAAACTATCGTGGAAGGTTACAATCTATCCAATGGACGGTTACCATATACCGTGGACGGTTACAAAACTTCAGTGACGGTTTGCAAACTACCCGTGGGACGGTTGCCAACTAAAATCCGTGGATTGGTTCAGGACCGTTGCAAACTATCCGTGGACGGTTACCAACTATCCCTGGACGGTTGCCAACTATCCGTGGACGTTTGCAAACTATCCGTGGACGGTGACAAACTATCTGTGGACGGTCAACAACTATCCGTGCACGGTTATCAACTATCCGTGGATGGTTCAAAACTACCCGTGGACGGTTACCATCTATCCGTGGACGGTTACAAACTATCAGTGGACGGTTGCAAACTATCCGTGGACGGTTGCCAACTATCCGTGGACCGCTGCAAACTATCCGTGGACGGTTACAAACTATCCGTGGACGGTTACCATCTATCCGTGGACGGTTGCCAACTATCCGTGGACGGTTGCAAACTATCCGTGGACGGTTACCAACTATCCTGTGGACGGTTACGAACTATCCGTGGATGGTTCAGAACTATCCGTGGACGGTTACCAACTATCCGTGGACGGTTACAAACTATCAGTGGACGGTTGCAAACTATCCGTGGACGGTTGCCAACTATCCGTGGACGGTTGCAAACTATCTGTGGAGGGTTCCAAACTATCCGTGGACGGTTACAAACTATCCGTGGACAGTTACCAACTATCCGTGGACGGTTGCCAACTATCTGTGGACGGTTGCAAACTATCCGTGGACGGTTACAAACTATCCGTGGAAACTATCCGTGGACGGTTGCAAACTACAGTCAACTCTCGCCTTACGGACACCCCGATATAACGGACACCCCCCTATTACGGACACAAAAAAAATCCCCGACTGAAATACAAAGAAATGACTGAACGTAATTCTCGCTATAACGGACTCTCGCTATTACGGAATTGCGGACACTACGTGTGGTCCCATTTGAACATTTAAAATATTTAACTCTCGATAGAACGGACACATGCTGAATATAACTGTCAGATTAAGTGTTAATTAAGAATATTGTTAATTAAGTGTCGATCTTAAGCATCCATTGTACAATCTATTTCCGCGGAATTTTAGCCGTGTGTTGATTTTTAGCAACAGATTTGCGTTTTCCAGGTGGTCGTTTCAATGACTCCTCGCTTGATATCCCTTCTGATTCTAAACGCAACGTCTTTTTTGCAGTCTCACTGCTCTTGATCAGGATATCGAGTCTCTCTAAGAAATCTGCTTTCCCATAAAATTTAAACATAACTGGAATCTCGAGTCCCAATCCAGCCCCTCTGTTTACTCGCTTGCCACAAATAACTGCAACCCCACTGTTGTATTCTCGTTTCAAAAAAGAAGAAACAATTTGAGATAATCCAAAGGGGATGTGCCCAACAATTCGCCCATTTTCTTCAATAATTGCCACAGCATTTCTGTCTCTACCATTTTCTGGTTCTCGTTGAAGCGCCAACACTTTACCAATCTCTGGACTGAACACATCTTTGTAAGCATGGTGACCTCTCAGCCACGAGCAATACACCCTAAAGTGTGCGTTCTGCTCTTGACTTAGCATGAATCTTTGATTAAATTCGGATTTAGCTTTATGCTTTGAAAAAGTCTGTGTGTCTCGTATGTCTGCGGTGCAGGTTGCTAAATTCAAGTTACGACCAACAGCCTAGTCTGTTTTCAGACACAATTGTATTTGCGCACTGTTTACAAATAGGAGTGTCAGAGAAGTAAACATGTCAGGACATGTCAAGGCAATGTTGACATGTCAGTTGCATTGCCGGATTTCAAACTATGATCACTATTGACCGATTAAAACCATCACAACGAAGCGCGGAAAATCGTTGCTCAGTTGTACCGAGCTAACTTTTCATACAATCTTTGCCATGCCTAAACAGAAGTCAGCCAAAAGAGCAAGGAATGAATTGTCCTTGGACAAGAAATTCCACATTGTTGAAGAATATGAAAGTACTAATGGTTCTTTAGGAATAAGAAAATTAGCCGAGAAATACATGTGTGGAAAGACGCAAATAAGCAACATCATCAAAAACAAGGTATCAGTAAGAGAACAATATGAAAAAGGACTTCCTCAAGGAAAGAAACGAAACCGTACTTCTCAGTTTTCAGATTTAAACGATGCTGTCTGGGAGTGGTATAAAAACAAGAATGATCAACTAATTCCAGTTGATGGTCCAATGATCCAGGAATTTGCATCTCAAGTTGCCGAAAAGCTAGGCTACATTGATTTCAAAGCCTCAAGTGGTTGGTTGACAAGATTCAAAGAACGACACAATCTTTCACAACACAAAGTTTGCGGAGAATCTGCTGATGTCGCAGTGGATACAGTGAAGTCTTGGAAAGAGCGGGTTGGCTCAATCATTTCTGGTTATGAAATGCAAGACATTTGGAACTTAGTTGAGACTGGCCTCATCTATCGTGCTCTTCCAGACAAATGCTTTTTTGCCAAATCAAAGAAATGTAAAGGTGGTAAGAAATCCAAAGAACGTCTGACTGTTGCCCTGATGACCTCTGCAACTGGAGAAAAGAAGAAACCAATAGTTATCTGAAAGTATGCCAATCCAAGGTGCTTGAAAAATGTCCACAGAGAGGACCTTCCTTGTCAATATTACAGCCAAAAAAATGCATGGATGACCTCCGACATTCTGCATAAGATCTTGAGTCAATTTAACAGGGAATGTAAAGCAAAAAAAAGATCAATTTTGTTGTTTCTCGACTCAGCTGGTTGCCATCCGTATGATTTGAAGGGACGCTACTCGAACGTCAAGCTCGTGTTTTTTCCTGTAAATTGCACATCTGAGTTGCAACCTCTTGATCTCGGCATTATTCAAAACTTCAAAGTTCATTATAGAAAGCTTTTGCTACGCTTCATCATCACAATGACCTCAAGTGAAAGGAACGCCGCAGAGATCAGCAAATCACTCAACGTGTTACAGGCAATGAATTGGGTGGGGGAAGCATGGCATAATGTTAAGGTGACAACCATCAGTAAGTGTTTCAATTCTGGGGGAATTTCCAGCAATACACTGATAGAAGACGAGGAGGCAGATCCCTTCAGTGACCTCGATGACATCGATGAAGATCTCGAAAATCTAATTAAAGAAGTTTCACCCGAAACCACCATCACTCCATATACATACCTGCTATCAGATACCGAGCTGCCTATATGCTACTGCATGGATAATGAAAAGGAACTGCTAGATTCTTTAGTGATAAATGAGCAAGTGGAAGTGGTTATATCAGATGATAATGATGATGATGATGATGATGATAATGATGATAATGATATACATGAGTCACTCCGACCACCAGCTTGAAGAGCTATCACGATGTTGCAAGGTCTGTGAGAGACATAGAAGGTTTTTCTCATCCAGCGTGGTCTTGCGACGATAGCAAGTGAATTCGCATGCCTCAGTAGTAAAGTTGCAGCACATGCACTGAAAAAGCAATCACACCAGACGACACTTGAAGAGTACTTTTTACAACAATAAAACTACAAACTACAAAATGATACAAAATTTATAAACTCCAGCACTACAAATCTCTGTTAACAAAATTACACGATTGCTATTGATTAAAAAAACTTAATAATTTTTCAACCAATAAATTAGTGATTTTTTTCTCATCTCGCTATTACGGACTCTCGTTATTGCGGACGCAACATTTTGGTCCTGATGGTGTCCGTAATAACGAGAGTCGACTGTATCCGTGGACGGTTGCCAACTATCCGTGGACGGTTGCAAACTATCCGTGGACGGTTACAAACTATCCGTGGACGGTTACCAACTATCCGTGGACGGTTACAAACTATCCGTGG